GTAGAAAAGCGTCGGAGGATCCCTTCTCTACTCCACCCCTTGGCTCCGGTCCCTTTGCTGTCCGCGAGCTCCACCGGGCACTTGCCCTGCGCGCCGCACCACCCTGCGTCCCCTGAACCCCAGCCCCAGGCCCACGTCCCACCTGCCGGAGGCACGGACGCCGGCGCCGAGCAAGCCTGTCTACTCCCGCTGGAGCGAAGGGGGAATCTTTGCTGATCTGGCTTTGACCGAGGGACCCTCTGCGCCACCGAGAAGTAGGGGGCCTGAGTCCTGGCCGCCCAGATTTCTCTCCCCTTTAGGGGTCGCAATGGAGCCAACAGCTGTCGGGCCCTAATCCATCCAGACCTTTAATCCATGCCTGATGCCTGAAATATCTTTGAGAGCCAAAACGAGCGCTCACACACGTCCGTACACCAGGGTCGCACAAATCTGTTATTTTCTGAGGACGAGTGGTTTGATGCCCCAAGCTACTCTTAAGCTTTAAGCATACAGTGCATGCCACCGTGGAGAGGATAGAAAAGCAAGTGAAACTGGAGCCCAGAACATGCAGACTCTTAAGAAAAAATAATTCCTAGATATTTTCTTTCCCTCTGCATTAACGTCCTTTGTCTCTCTAATGAGATAGATCCCCGTGCTTCTCACAGTGTGGTTTCCGGACCAGCAGCATCAGCCTCTTTTGGGAACTTGTTAGGAGTAGGAATTCTGGGGCCCATTTCCGACCTCGTGAATCTGGAACTAGGGTGGATGGAATCCAGCTATCTGCTTACAGGAGCTGTTCCTGTGATTCCCAAACAGGTCCAGGAACCGCTGGCTTCAAAGCCTCTCTGGGCAGTGTTTCCCACTGATACTACACATAACCGTCAGGTACTGACCTTGTTTTGTTTACCGCTTGTCTGTTTAGAGAGAAGTTTCTGATGTGACAGTGGGCAAAGCTGCTGGGAGCACAAGGAGTTACCTGTAAGAATCCATAGGAGCAATCAGAACCAGAGAGAGAGAGAGAGAGAGAGAGAGAGAGAGAGAGAGGGAGGGAGAGAGGGAGGGAGAGGGAGAGAGAGGGAGAGAGAGAGAGAGAGAGAGAGAGAGAGAGAGAGAGGAAGGCAGAAGGGACTTCCCCCACCTTCAGTTCACTTTCAGTATCTGTCTCTTGCTGAGAACTCACAGACACGCTTATTTGAAGTATTTCATTTTCCTTACAGGCTTCTACAACCTGCTGTGGTTGTTCTCCTGACTCTTTCTGAAAGCACCTTCTAAGACAGTTATTATAACTAAGAGGTCACAGACAGGACACTCCCCACCCTCCCACCCCTACCTATCTGACTTGTGGTAAAGAGGGTCCCCCATTCCTTCAGATGCTGTGTGCCTCTTTCACATTTTAAAATTAATTTTTATTGGAGTACAGTTGCTTTACAAATGCTTTGCAATTTGTTTCTACTATACAGCAAAGTGAACCAGATATATATATATATGTATATATATATATATACATACAGCCCCTCTTATTTGAGTAGAGTTCCCTGTGCTAATAAACCACAAAGACCAGAGCAGAAATAAATGAAACAGAAATGAAGAAAAACAATAGTAAAGATCAATGAAAAGATAAACAGAATTGATAAATCTTTAGGTAGACTCATCAAGAAAAAAAGGAAGAGGACTCAAATCAAAAAAATGAAAGAAAAGTTACAGCTGGTACTGCAGAAATACAAAGGATGGTAAGAGACTATTACCAGTAATGATATGCCAATAAAATTGACAACCTGGGAGAAATGGACACATTCTTAGAAAAGTACTTTCAAAACGGAACCAGGAAGAAATAGAAAATATGAACAGACCAATCACAAGTGCTGAAATTGAAACTGTGATTAAAAACCTTCCAACAAACAAAAGTCCAGAACCAGGTGGCTTCACAGGCAAATTCTATCAAACAGAAGAGTTAACACCTATCCTCAAACTCTTCAGCTTGCTTCCTTTAAAACCCAGGCCAGCAGCCGACAGGCTTCAGAAGAGCACGGGACCCTGGGAAGCAGGGCGTGGTGGGCGGGGGCGCTGATGCCCCAGGCAGAAGAGAAGGGCCCTGGGAAGGAGAGATGTTTAGACTATGATGTGTGTGTGGAAGGGGGTGGGGCGGTCATGCTGTCCCATGCCAGGGCTAGTGGTAGCCACAACCTGGGCATTCCAGTGTATTTATTGCTCATTCCAGGGAACAACCCTTGGGTCCCCAAGTGTGCCCAGACTCGAAGGCTGAGACCCTGTACTCAGGGTTTCCCAGGAGCCAGGCACTAGTGTAGTTTTTCTATTTGTTTGTCCCAGTCCCTATCTTTGCTCTCTGAATTTTTCTGGATGAAATTGGAGAACATTGAGGAGTATGGGTGAAGATGTGTGTGTGTGTGTGTGTGTGTGTGTGTGTGTGTGAGAAAGAGAGAGAGACAGAGACAGAAAATGTAACCTTCAACACTGCACTGAAGAGGTGTTTTGGTTCCTGCAACAAAAAGACCTTTCTTGTGCGTTATAAACACACCCTCTTGAGCTTCCTGCTCCAGTACTTTCAGGTCGGCTCGAGTATAGGCAGCTTACCCCCAGCCACTTAGTACAACTGACCAGTACTTGCCCGGAGTTTTTCCTTTACAAAGCAATTGCAAAAGATAAAAAAATATATAGTTTCATTTGAGTGCCACTGAGGCTCTGTGAGGCAAAAGAGGAAAAGTATGAGTACCGTTATCATTGTCGTTTATTCTCACTTTCGGAGAGGAGAAAACCGAAGATCCACACCCTTTCAGAGAAAAACTGGACGGAAAACTATGCTTTAACTCGTGTGTCGCAGTGCACAGCTTCAGGCCTCCGGTTGAAAGCACAGGCTGGTGGGAGGCAGCAGGATTTTGAAACAAATTCATTTGTGGTTTGGGGTTGTTATAGAATGAACAAGCAGACATTTCTCCAGGGGCCGCCTGAGTCGAGAACTTTTTTTTTTTTAGTGTCATGTATTTTTTTAATTAATTTTTTCAACTGTGTTGTGGTAGAGCTTAACAACAATGTTGTGATAGTTTGAGGTGAACAGCCAAAGGCACTCAGTCATACACGTACACGTATCCATTCTCCCCCAAAGCCCCTTCCCCTCAAGGCCGCCACGTAACATTGGCGTGCTCAAAATTTTTGAATATTCGCCTTGCAAAATCGTCAGTGGGAGCTAGGGAAATGTGCTGAAGTGGAACACAAACAACTGAGCCACGTTGGGACTCATCTCTGACTTGAACTCTGGACCCGCAGGTCAAGAGTCGAGTGTGCCTCTGGTAGAAGCAAATGTGGGAAAGGTGGAGATGGCCAGAGCCTAAAATGATCTCTTGAAGGTCACATCGAGGGAGAGGGGAAGCGAGGAGGAGGGAAGCTGATACTCTGAGGGTGCCAGTGACAGACACGCGGGTGAGGAACCGCCCGCCTTCCCAGTCCGCGGAGAACGGAGATGCTAACGAGGTAACTCTCTTTGGGAGAGAACGTCCCTCGCGCACAGCGGTTCCCCAGGTCCAGAGCATCCGGGTTCCTTCCCCTCTGGCCCGGCTCGGGGCTCCACCCCTGAGCGGCCTTGGGGGTTGGTTGGAGGTAAGTGCAGGAGCAAGGGAGCTCTTACTCCAGGTACCAAACCGAGCTGAGAAAAGGGCGAAAAAAATCGAAAAGAAAGAGCAAATGAAGCGGAAGTTTCAAGGCCCTCTGCGAGGAATAACAGTATAAATAACCGAAGACGTCTTGTAAACACTGCGGTCATAACCCCGAACATTAAACAGCCCCGGTGGCATCTGGCTCATCGGCCGCCGCGGGCTGCGCTGGGGCAGCGAGGGAACCGGGTCCCAGGCTCCTCGGACTCGCCTCTCTGTTTATCTCAACTTAATCTTCCCCAACGAGCTGTTCCGTAGCCTGGAAGATGTTTAAATTAAAGCCCAGTCCGCCGGAAGTCGTGGAGAGGCGCTGAATGCACTGGCTAACGTAACAGAAAAGGCAGGCATGCGCATTGTTCGAAGTAATTCATTAATTATTAAGAAAACTGTATGATACACGTTGCAGCCCCTCGAAAATCGTAGAACACATTCCAGAGGTATGGCATTTACATTTTTCATCGCTCCCTTCATTGCTTCACTCGTTTGCAGTTCTGGGTTGCGTGGGTTCATGTCTGCACCTGGAAGGTTATAGAATGTGGGTTTTACCTTCCTGCTTGTATTAGCAATTACACTGTGGGATACCTGAAGATCAGATTTTCCTTTTCTCTTGAATTGTGACTGTTCTTGACTTTAATCCTTCCCTTTCTTTGTTTAGTTACACTATTTCTATTTGTCTTAAAAGTAATCTGCAAACTGGAGACTCGTTTCTTTTCGAAGTTTCAGTGCAAAATATGATTTGCACCTTCATGGTGGAAATCGTACTCAATCATTTTCTATCTCTCAAATAAGTTTGGATTGAGGCTCAAAAGGACCACTTTTATTATCGAGCTGCCCCCATGGTTCCCCACCTTTCTATTCCAAATATATTTTCCAAAAATCACACCAAACGGCAGGGCTTTTAGCAATATAAAGAAAGATTTATTTTTGAAAGTAGCAAAACTTGTTTGAAAAAAATATATCTTTAAGTGAATTACTTTATAAAGGTGACTGTCAAAGTCAGCTATTCTATGATCTACATTTTACAACATATTGTACAAAAGATACACATTGATAGGCTCTTATTATCTATTTATATATTTATAATTACATATTGCACTTGGACCAGCAAGGCTCGCAGAGTCATTCACGGTAGAAGTTAATAAAGTTAAATAGATGGGAATCGTTGTAAGTACAGTTGATGTTTCTCTGGTTTGGAAACGAATCTCCTCGTCGCTGTAAAGTGTTCTCGCGGGGTGGGACGGGGAGAGGAGAGCTGCGAGGGGGAAGCAGAGACGGAGAGCGGGGAGGGCAAGGGTCGCCTTCCCTGGGGCCCGCTCCCCCCGGGAGCGCGCCTTTCCCAGGCTCACACCTCCAAGGTCAGGACGCCGTGGTTCCACATAAGCGGCTGGCGGTCACCACTTCTTTCAGGTCACTCTCGGGTTTCCCGGCCACCATAAAGGGCCACGTCTGCAGGAGAGAAGAGGGTGGAGGAGGTAAGTGGCCGTGGAGGAGGGGTGGGACGAGGCCGGAGCCGGAGGCCAGAGTAAAGGGCGCGGGGGGCGGCAGGCGCTGAGTTGCACAGACCCGTTATCTCTGCAATTCACTCTGTGACCTAACGCGCCCTGTGGCTGGATAAAGCAGAAAGCGGCCTTGGCGCCAAGTCACAGCTCGAGGTGGCAGAGCAAAGAGGGGTTCACACTGGGTTCGAAGTGAAAACCCAAGAGAAAAAGCACAGCCCGGAGGCAGATGCCGCGGTGAGGCTGAGCAGGGAATCCGAGAAGGATCTCGAACCGCTGGGCACCGGGTTCAAGGTGAAGCGCCCTTCTGGCCCTGGGCAGGCTCTTCTGAGGCCCTGGTCAGGCTCCCAGCCCTCTCGCTTTCACCCCCAGGGATTTCACTACTTCTAACTTTCATTTCCATCACAAAGGGGGGCTTTTCATCACCGTTTCTAAATTAATCGCCAGCTCTTAAATAATGTTAATAAAAGAATATACCGACGAAATTTCAGATTGTCTTCGTACAGGGCTGAGCAAACATAGCTTTCTCTTCCCTTCTTCCTGATGTTTATAATAAAGCTCACTTAAGTTTTCTTAATCAAGGATGAAGGCAGCAACAGCTGTAAATGAAGGCACTGCTTTCATTTTAGGTCCAGACTTTAAAAAGCTGTTTACTCACTTAAGAAAACTTGACTCTTAATGAAAGGAAAAACAATTTTATAGCAAAATATGGTTTTGCAACCCCCTCCCATCCACCTCCCCCCACCATTCCTGAAACCAGTTCAGAGAGAAGACCACTCAAACCTTCAAACCTGTCTCCCTAGTGCTGACTGATAAGAAGACTTTTAAGAGGAAAAAGTCTCCTTCTTATCATATATAAACAGAGGTGCTAGTTAGTTTTTGTTTTTCTTTAGAGCCTGGAACCCTTAAAATTAAATCAAATGCAAAGAGGGAATTAAAACATACTTCTTAAACAGTAATATACCTTTGAGAAAAATATTAGGTTCAATGAGCATTACTTATTAAGATAAAAAGTAACATGTTTTTAAATCTTGAAGGAGAGTGACCTATTTTAATATTATTTATTATACTAACAGTCGTGAGAATGTGCTGATTATGCTGATATTATCTAGAACTTCTGGGACCCAAAAGTGTTAATTCATCGACAGGAGAAGTGCAGAATATTTAAATAGTTGAGGACTTAGGTGACAGTTATGGGGGGCACGATGTGTTCATATGCAAAGTTCTACATATGGAAAACTTTGGGAAGGAAACAGAGTAGGATGTTTTTATTTACAAGAAGTAGAGGAGGAAGATCAAGTTCTACTCTTTGGCTAAAGGAAGAGTAAAAGGATTACTAAAATGCCTCCTTAGCGCGTAGCATCTCCTCCGTGTCCTCTGTCCGGCACCAGCCCTGAAGGCGCTGGTGCGAGTGCGGGGGATCCCTCCTCTTTGCCAGCTCAACGTGCTTGCAAACTCTTAATTGGGCTGCCATGTCAAACACTCGCATAAATCACCGCGCTCCGCAGCTTGGAAGGCAGAGAGCGAGGACCGTGTGGGGATCGCCTGCATGGTCCCCTAGAGGCATTGGCTGGCGGTGACCAAGATGCGCGGGTCGCAGCCCGGCGCGCACCTTCACACCGGGGACCCACTGCGGGCGCGCTGTGTCGGGGGTCCGGGGGGGCGAGACGCCGCCACCACGCCCGAAGACTTACCAGGTTGACCGGGTGAATATAACCGTTCTCATACTTGTCGTTGGCCAGGATCTGCCTCAAGTGGGCGATGTAGCTGGACGCCAGCCTGAGCGTGTCCAGCTTGGAGAGTTTGGTGTCCGGGGGCACCCAGGGCAGGGTGGTCTTGAGCCTGGAGAAGGCCTTGCTCAGCACCCGCATCCGGGCTCGCTCGCGCGCGTTGGCCGCGTTGCGTTGAACCTGTTTCCCCTCCTGGCTGACCCCGCTCAAGGGGCTCTTCTTGGTGGGCGCCTTCCTCCTCTTGCCCAGGCCGCCGCGGCCCTTCTGGGGAGACCCGGCCTCGCAGTTGGAGCTCTCCTCGGTGCTCTCGTTGGAGGTCACAAACTCCTTGTTCGAGTCCATTTTCAGCCCGTCGCAGTCCAACATCTCCACCTCTTGAAGATCCTCCACATCGCTCAGGGAGCCGGTGGACATGTTTGGCGGAGAGGATGAAAGAGAGAGGGGAGGGAGAGAGGAGAGAGGGAAGAGAAGAGAGAGACCTCGAAACCAGTGAGCCTCCGAATGTGGAGTTCGAGGCGGCCACCTCGGGGTGGGGAGCCGGGAGGTGGGGGTCTGGCTGGGCCTCACACCCCTTTCCCCTTCGCAGAGTCGGGAGAAGAAGCCGCGAGGGCTTCTGCGGGCAGGAAACCGACGCGCTGTTTCCCCACCCCCGGAGTCGTGGCCGGAGAGGATTGTGAGAGAGCGCGGAGGAATTCGGTGGACACGAGGAATTTATCTGGGGAATAGAGAGGCGGATCCTTGCCGCCCAGGGGAGGGGCCTGCCGGGCCCCAGCAAAGCTCTTAGACCCCTCTCACAGCCCGAGGGAAACTCTCACGCACGGCCCCTGATTTCCAACTTGTAATGGAAACCAGCTCCACCGCAGGACGCGAATGCCAGGCACCTTCTCCCACTTTGGGATGAACCAGGGAGCAGCGGGGCCCACCACCCAAGCTCCTTTCCCCGGGCCTATCTCTCCAGGTCGGCTTTCCTTCTTAAGAGGTCATAGCTGGCTGTGTCTGAGAACTTTAGGAAAACGACCAGATCTCTGCTTTTTCTGGGCCTTCCACCCACAGATCTCATCCCCCGGCTCCCCACTTCCTCACAGAAAACACCAATTAAAATCCAGACACGGATCCACCACCTCCTGCCCAAACCATAAGATTGTGTCTTTTTCAAGATATCTTCTCACCTTAACTGCGGTGAATTAAGACAGTAGATGCTTTATAGGATCTTTAGGGTGATAACAGAGAAAATACCAAAAAATCAACTTGCGCCTGGTCACTTTAAAGATTTAATGAAGGAATTGCCGGTGTGCCTGTGTGTGTGTGTGTGTGTGTGTGTGTACACAGACATACCCATTGCACACACACACACACACACACACACACATTTAAGGGGGCGCGTGGGGGGAATGAGATAGAGTAACATGGATTTGTGGAAAGTGTTTTGTCAGTTGATAAGCTTTTCTTAATGAAATTAAAACTTTCCCCTAAATTTCTTTCTAGAGATCCATTTAATATTGTCTTAAAATGTTCGTTGCCTCAGACATCACCTGATCCCGGATTTCTGGTTTCTTCCCTCCCAATGCTCCCTTCTTTTGGCTCCCGGGGTTCTGCTTGTAAGGCTGACATTACAAAACGTTGAGCAATATTATCCAGTTCAGAAAGGTTCTTTTTTCCACCCCTAACTCCAGTCTCGACCATCTTTCCCGGAGAAGAAGAAAATTCAAGGAGTAGGTAGACAAGCAAGGGGACCAGAAATCGGGGGATTGAACGACATCGATGAAATGAAACCAGAGACACAGAAGGCATGATCTCTCTTGTTCTTCTCCAGGTTTTCTTTCCTTGGAATTAGGTACTGAAGTTGAGGGGGCTGGAGCAGAATGTGAGAGGATTGTGAGCTTTTGACTGGGAATCTGTACCCCTCTCCTAAACTGAGATACCGTATCTCTAATCCTGGGCTCAGCTGGGAATTCACTAACCTCTAACGTTTTGTTTTGTTAGCAAGGTCTTGTTTGCTTTCCCCCTATGCTGTAAACTAAACAGATTGTCAGCAAATCAGTCTTTATTAATGAATTAGGGAGACCCCCCCCATAATATCTTTGCCCAGGATCCAAAATTTGTTAATCACCAGTGTAGAGATTTATGAGCTCTCTTATTTTCTGTTGTTTGTGCAGGTGGAGATTTAAATGACCATATCCACTACCAAGATTTATTACGAGAGTGATTGATGCTATAAACCAGGAAAAGGACTCTTCTTCCCACAGCAGGGATGATAGAAATATCAAGTTGAAGTTGCCTTTGTCTTCATGCACAAATGACCCAGCCCTACAACACAGAGAGTATAATAATTTAATCTGAGATCCAAGACAGCATTAAAAGAACACCCAACAGGCCTGTTAAATGTTTTCCCTCTGATTCCCAAACTAGATTTCTTTGATTTACCCTCCCTTTTCTCAGTCTTGGTAAGACATGAAAGTTAAAGTTATTTTTAGACTAAAAGAGTTATGTGAAAATGGGCATTGACCAATACTTTGTGAAACGTGTGTATATGTGTGTGTGTGTGTGTGTGTGTGTAGATACTGAGATATATGTAAAATAACCACAGATTATTTATCTGGGCTCTGGAATGGGATGATAATTAAGAATCAGAACTATGCACTTACCACATACAAGGCTAGTAAGCTCAGAAGATTTTACCTGGAGTACTTTTGTTACTGAGGGAGAGGGTCTGGTTTCCTGCTTCACTTCAGTTGGTAAGCTACTGAGGCTGTTTGTGGGATAATAACAAACATAGTAATATATACAACTGAATAGATTTCTGCTGTTTGATTTTCTAAGTCTGAAAGTGTGCAATAAATAGAAATTTCTTAAAAATAGCAATTTCTAGAAAGGATCAAAATAGCTTCATGCCACAAGCTGAGTTTGTGTGTGTGTGTGTGTGTGCGTGTGTGTGTGTGCACGCGCCTAGTAATTAGTTTTGTTTTGTTTTGTTTTTAGATAAGTAAGAATTAAGTCCAATTATCGCGCAGTGACACATTTAGACTGGGAAGGATGAGTGGATTAATAATGAACTTGGGATATTTGTAAAAACTTTCTAGGCGATAGCTACCAGTTTGGGAGCAAGCTATGAAGAAGGCTGTTACTTAGGTACCTTGATGTGCAGTCTTGAAGACAATAGATTAATATGGATAATACCTTTTCCTCTTGACATTTTGTATCTACCCTGCTAATAAACACTTAGGGACAGGTGGGTGGGGGGAATGACTTATTGTTGGATTCTACCAAGAAAATCAGTTAAGCTGTAACTTAAACTGTGCCAGATTCTCCCAAAATATAAACTATAATTCTGTGAGAAGAGAAGCATTTTTGAGAAACTGTATTAACTCTTCAATAACAAGAGAAATCCTTTCAACATTAAAGTTTCGAAGAGCTAAATAGAAAACCAGTGGTTTGAGAGCATGAGGTAGTTAACTAAAAGTTCTTACCTTACATTTAAGAGAGAATTTATGCCCCCAAAGACATCTGGCCAATTTGTTGCACACTTCTAACAATTTGTTCTGCAAGAAAGGCTATCTTTGAAAGATTTCAATGCTAAGGAAAATTTATCTCTAAAAGTAGTAAAATGAAGATTAGACGTGGAATGTATCCTTGAACGTAAATCCTGGTTTATCAACTGATAAATTTTCAGGAAGTTCAAATTTGATTCAGTTGCACTTGGATGGGATAATTTGCTTCCCTTTTTATGAGAGGGAAAAACATCAAGGCTTCTTTTGAACTGACTTCATCTACCATCACATTCTCTTTCCCAGGGCAGTAGAAAAATATGTCTTTAAATTCGAATTTTAATCCTTTCCTCATACTCCCTACTATTTGTCCAAGAGGCAGACAAGCTGGCAAATTGGCAAAAGTGCCAATTCTCTCTTTGTTTCTTCACTGTAATTAACACCTCTAGATGTGTCATTTTCTTTGTGTGATGGTAACTACCACCAGTTCAAATGCAAAGAAATAGAGGAAAACAACAGAATGGGAAAGACTAGAGATCTCTTCAAGAAAATTAGAGATACCAAGGGAACATTTCATGCAGAGATGGGCTCAATAAAGAACAGAAATGGTATGGACCTAACAGACACAGAAGATATTAAGAAGAGGTGGCAAGAATACGCAGAAGAACTGTACAAAAAAGATCTTCATGAGCCAGATAATCACAATGGTGTGATCACTCACCTAGAGCCAGACATCCTGGAATGTGAAGTCAAGTGGGCCTTAGGAAGCATCACTAGGAACAAAGCTAGTGGAGGTGATGGAATTCCAGTTGAGCTATTTCAAATCCTCAAAGATGATGCTGTGTAAGTGCTATACTCAATATGTCAGCAAATGTGGAAAACTCAGCAGTGGCCACAGGACTGGAAAAGTCAGTTTTCACTCCAATCCCAAAGAAAGGCAATGCCAAAGAATGTTCAAACTACTGCACAATTGCACTCATCTCACATGCTAGTAAAGTAATGCTCAAAATTCTCAAAGCCAGGCTTCAGCAATATGTGAACCATGAATTTCCAGATGTTCAAGCTGGTTTTAGAAAAGGCAGAGGAACCAGAGATCAAATTGCCAACATCTGCTGGATCATCGAAAAAGCAAGAGAGTTCCAGAAAAACATCTATTTCTGCTTTATTGACTATACCAAAGCCTTGGACTGTGTGGATCACAATAAACTGTGGAAAATTCTGAAAGAGATGGGAATACCAGACCACCTGACCTGCCTCTTGAGAAACCTGTATGCAGGTCAGGAAGCAACAGTTAGAACTGGCCATGGAACAACAGACTGGTTCCAAATAGGAAAAGGAGTGCATCAAGGCTGTATCTTGTCACCCTGCTTATTTAACTTATATGCAGAGTACATCATGAGAAACGCTGGGCTGGAAGAAGTACAAGCTGGAATCAAGATGGCCTGGAGAAATATCAATAACCTCAGATATGCAGATGACACCACCCTTATGGCAGAAAGTGAAGAGGAACTAAAAAGCCTCTTGATGAAAGTGAAGGAGGAGAGTGAAAAAGTTGGCTTGAAGCTCAACATTCAGAAAACTAAGATCATGGCATCTGGTCCCATCACTTCATGGGAAATAGATGGGGAAACAGTGGATACAGTGGCTGACTTTATTTTTCTGGGCTCCAAAATCACTGCAGATGGTGACTGCAGCCATGGAATTAAAAGACGCTTACTCCTTAGAAGGAAAGTTATCACCAACCTAGACAGCATATTAAAAAGCAGAGACATTACTTTGTCAACAAAGATCCATCTTATCAAGGCTATGGTTTTTCCAGTGGTCATGTATGGATGTGAGAGTTGGACTGTGAAGAAAGCTGAGCACCAAAGAATTGATGCTTTTGAACTGTGGTGTTGGAGAAGACTCTTGAGAGTCCCTTGGACTGCA